AAATCATTGAACCCTACACCATTGATGACCATGGCAGAGGGGAAATTTTCCCACCTGCTGTGTGTAGACAGAAGTTCTTGTAGATGTCCAGGGACGTAGAAGTTCTCGGGTCTTGTGACAGAGAACGCGGTTTGGATGAGAATCGACTCGTTAGATGGTCGGGCATCCTCTTTTGCTTCCCTCGTCTCATGGGTATCCCGACGAGGAGCATCGTTTCGCCGGTATTGTGTCAGTCTTCCCCTTTTTATGAGGGTCTCGATGGCATCCTTGAGGTGGACGCAGTCTTCGTTCAGGTGCCCGTGGCTCCGGTGGTACTGACAGTATTTTCTTCGGTCCACCCCGGGTTTGGCAGGAGCGGGGCGGGGACGTTTGATGTCACCGTCCTTAAAGTATGTACTTGCGCACTCTGCTAAGATGCGCTCGCGAGAAGCCGTTAGCGGAGTGTATTCGATGAACCTCCCCGAGGGCCCCTTCTGTTCTCGGGCGTCTCGGGGTTTATCATTCCTTCTCTTCTCTCTAGTTCGTCGAGGAGGGGCGATGTCTTGTAGTGGATTACTACTGGATCCGCGATTTCTAGGATCTCGAGATCTGTTGGCCGCTTCTCTCTCCTCGTAGTCCATATAGGCCTTGTCCTTTTCGAGGAGGGCATCGAACGTCCGAGGTGGTTCGATGCCTACAGCTTTTATGAATTCGGTGCTGGGGAGGAGACCCTCTCCAGTAGATACTTCTTCATATGGTCCGTACAGGGGACCTGGATGGCTTCCCGGTTGAAGCGATCGATGAATTCTCTCAAGGTCTCATCGTGCTTCTGGACGATGGCCTCGAGCGCCGCTTTGGTCTTCGGGTTTCATCGCGAAGTAGTGAACGAGCTGATGAATTGGTTCTTCAGGTTTCGCCAAGAGGTAATTGACCCTGGGGCGAGACCTTTATACCAGTCCATAGCCTCTTTCCTCAGAGTTGTGGGGAACAACCGACACTTGATTGGTCCCCCAATATTGTGGTAGTGGAGCATGGCTTCGAATCCGTCTATATGGTCGACCAGATCGGCGACACTGTCATACTCCTTTAAGTGGGGAGGCTTCTCCATGCCCGGGGGAATGGGCACCTCCATGATAGCTTGTGACAAGGGACAGTGGGGGTCGTCCTCGTCACTCCGTTCAGGAGAGCGGGATGGAGATCCTATGTAGTGGTGGTCACGGTGGCCCTGGTCGCGTAGAGCATTTCTTGGGCGATATGACCGTTGATGGTTTTCCCCGTGTCTGTCTCCGGGGGGTCTTCTGTCTCCACAGGGGAGATCGGGGACGTTCATTCGCTTGTCGAGGGGGAGGAGATTGATGCCTCCTGTGTCTTCTCGGGGGTCTTCTATCGTCCTTGAGCGCTCTCAGTATTTCCCCCTGGGAGAAGATGAGATAGTTGGTTTGGTTGATCGCTGCAAACAATGCCCTAGTCGCGGCATCTGCCCCGGCGGGGACGGGGACCTTGTGAAATTGGACGGGTGGATAGTTCATGGGAGGTGGTCGGTATTCTTCAAGTCGTTGATGGATTAAAGAAGAAGAGGCTGTGGCTCCGTCCCTGTAGTTAAAAGGTTTGGGCACGTTGACACCAGGGACCGTGTTATGGTCGGCGGTATCGGCAATGTCGAGATCGGCATTGTTGTTATTAGCACCGATGACACGGACGTTCTGGTTGTCCTGAGTCTGGTCATCCATGACAGTCGAGGATGGTTTTAGATTTGGTATTTTAAGTGAAGAGAAGACGGGGAAGCTTAGATTCCTACAGACGGCACCACTGATCTGACCTGATCAGAGTTGGACCGTCACAGCTGGCTTCAGGCTGAATTTGAAGGAGATGGGGGGGGGGGGGTACCTACAAGGCACTCCAATGGAAAAATGAGAGGCGGAATGAGCAAGCAAGTATGAATGTAGGTGTGAATGAATGAATACCTGAACCTCTCATGAGAGAGGGTATTTATAGCCCCCAGCGCTGGGCCAAGGTCCCCACTATTGGGCTACGCAGAGGCCCAATAACGAGAACTGCCAGGGTTTACGTGAGTATGGAGTCCAGCAAGTGGACTCTCCCCCTGGTCAACCGCTCCGCGAGAATAGGGTTGGACCCGAAATTCCCAGAGGGAAGTTTGATATGTCCGTTGAGAAGTGGTGGGCCACGTCCCCCAACGGTTAGATGGGGAGGTGCCCCACAATCTCTAACTTGGGCCGTCTGAGCCTTTTGTTCGTAGGGAAAATGTAGGCCCAGTCTAGATCAGAAAGTATACTATTTTTTTAAAAGTATTCAAAGCCTTTTTCATTTATTTTTTAGATTGAGTGTTAGAGTGCTAGTGTAACATCCAAGGTCAAAGAGGGTGAAAAGTGGTCGTCGAATTCATATTAGAATGAGAGGGATTCTGAGGATGTGCAGGAATGAGACTGCATGATTGAAGGAATACTTATAAGGATAAATTGGTACTACCTATACTAACAAGAAGAATCTTCTTTTCAGTAACCTAACAGATAAAAACTTCATAGTTAAGTGTGCTTGATTTAGAGTAGTATTTAGATGGATAATCTTCTAGAAAGTTTTCTGGAAAGCGTGCGAGTGAGGACAAATGGTATCAAAGTAGACCTCTCTCAGTACGATGTGGTTCAGATACGAACCAAGCGAAAATTGGTAGACATGTGTGGTCGAAGAGGGCGAGGGGTTGTAGCCAAATTCACATCGAAATTAGAAGGATCATGAGGCTGCGCAAGGATGAGACTACATGATTGAAAAAAGGCTTATAACGATTGATTGGTATTACATATAGCAACAAAATATATCTTCTTTTCGGTGGCCTAACATATAAGAATTCTATAGTTAAACGTCTTTGACTTGGAGTAGTATTTGAATGAGTGACCTTCTAGAAATTTTTTTGGATAGCATGTGAGTGAGGACAAAGCACGCTGAAAAGACCTGTATTAGTTTTCTGAGGTCAATCGATGATCCTTGAAGCAATATGAGGCATTGCAACTAACCTTACAGGTCAATTAATTCTCTACCACATTATAAGCTAAGACCCACTACAACAAGCTCTACAACTACAACTTTTGATCAACTTTAGTTCTACTGCCGAAAACGGGTGCCATTTGTGGAAATTAACTTCTAATCCTACAATTTCCATGATCAAATCTCTCATAATTCAATCAAATATACTCCGTCAGAAATCCATATCTCCTTCACTCGAAATACAGATCTCCATTTTCTGCACACCTTTCTCAAATTTCAACTTCTTTTCCTTCAGATCCATTAAATATGTTGGCGAATAAAGCTACTCGTTCCTTTATTCAACAACAAGCCGCTACCACTCTCGCTTCTGAGGCTACCAGAGGTCCACCACATCTTCCTCAAGGGATGAGCGATCAAGTCCTAGTAACTTATCTATCCATTCCTTCGCTTACTGTCAAGCCTAAGGCAAGTCAGAGAGCATTTCAGCCTCTTTCGTTCCTCGGGTCCGCTCCACAGTTCCACTAAGATGAACCTTTGTTCAAACCTTCATCACTGCCTGTGATGCCAAGGTAGAAGATGTTTCATGGCTTTCAACTGCTGCAAGATGATCTTGACATGCATGTAGCCAATGATTTAATGAATAATATTTATAACATAGGGCAACATCAGAACTCTCAGACCTTAGCATAAAAAAATATTCAAAATTAAAGAGAGTTTGTAACATATCAATTTAAGGAACAATATTGTACAAGAAGTGGCGTCACAAAGAAAGCAAGCTTCCATACTTTAGCCGATGGCGATATGGGCAACAACTCACCAAGAGGAAGTCTAGAAACCACCGAGCGGCTAACAAATCACATGCACAAAACCCATTCTCTTTATCCAAAAAGGGGAAGAGGTAGCCATACTCCTATAGAAGCTCGTCATCCTCGGAGGAAAAAAAGATATCAAGAAGATGCTCTAGTCCTGAAGCGAAAGAAAAACCCCATATCTGCCAGCATTCTCAATAGTAGGATTTTGAGATCACTGAAGAATTCGTCGAAGATACAGAGCTATGACATAACTAGAGATTCTAATGAACATGTCGAACATGTAGATAAATGTCTAGATCACTACCATACACATGAAGATATAAAGTGAAAACTCTTTGCACTAACTTTGACTAGATCAATGATGATTTGGTTCAAATCCCTTCCTGGCGAAAGTATATTATATTTGGGAAAGACCTATGTGAGACCTTCACCACCCACTTCACCGTCCGAAAGAAGAAATCCACATCCATAACCGTTCTCAATGGAATTACCCAATGTAAAAAGAAATCATACATGGGTATATTGAAGTGTTGGATTTCTGAGAAGGACTTGAGGCACGACTGCATATTTCGAGAGAAGTTAAGGCGCAAAAAAGCCCATAATCTAAAACACTTGTTGAGTAGAGCACACATTTTCATGGAAATCAACGTGGCCTCCATGATCAGATAATTGAGAGACACGGGTATCCGACCTCTTACTGGTTGTTGGACAAATGATTCCAAATACAAGAGGGGGATGCAAGGTTTATTGTGAAAAACAATGTTCAAATAACAAATCTTTGATAAAATTCGAATTTAAAGCAAGTTTGTAAAACAAACAAGAAATAGGCAGTTGAATAAGAAAATTCATAGATGTAAGAAAGAAATACATCAAAAATAAATAAATGATTGAAATGTAAAGAGATAGGGGAAGATAAAAATGTACCAGCAATTTATAGAAGTTCGGCCTAACAAATTTATCCTCTCTCAAAAAATTTCTTCTTGAGAATTTCAATTATAATATAATTTTCTTATAAATTTTGCCCATAAACCTCCTTACACACAAATTAGATTTTTATACTTTTTTTTAATAATTGATTTAGAATAATGTTTTTACCTCCCCGCGCAATTAATCAAAAGGATAACGATAATAGAAATTTGAGAACCACATAAATAGTGAAACACAGACATGTATATTTTCATAGTAACATATCATGCTTAAAACCCAAAAATGGCAATGAATTCACACACAGCACCAACTCATGCATCGTTGCACTTTTCATCCTATTTCCCAAATTCACCTTCATTATTACCATCTTTTAAACCATCAAACCCTCTCTATTTCACTCCTATCATCACAACAACAGCTCTTAAATATCATCACAGACAAACAACACTAACCAGATCAACCCTTGATGATATTCAAAGAGATCAACTTTCCTCAACCCCACTTGTTGTATGCTCTTTTTTGCTTTACTATTAATGTTTTTTAAGTTTCTTACAAAATTCAACATGTTTAGATGCTAAAGTTTTAATCTTTAACAAACCCTTTTGAGTTTGAGTTTTTTTCATGGGGCTTCTGTTTTGTTTTTCAATTCAATCTAGGGCTTGTTTGATTTGGTTTATTTGAATTTATCTACTATCATAAACACTTGTAAGACTGTTCTGGGGAGCTTATCAAAACAACTTATATCATGTCTATACTATAAGCTGTTTTTAGCTTATTTTCATAAGTTTTTCAAGATAGATTATGAAACAACTTATTGCTTATATGGAAATTCTCTAAATTTATGTTTATATTTTGTTATAAAAATAACATATACATAAGCACTTATGTGATAAACGCCTATGCTAGAAGTGCTTAATTAAGTTTTTTTTATCCAAACTGGCTTTAACTTAATATTTAATTTCTATCTTTACTTAGGAGTTAGAGGAAAATGTGAAGGTGCTAAAAAATGCAGCTAAGACAAGAAAGGTACCAGCGAAGGAGATTCTTTCTGCACTGTCTTTCATTGAGAAAGCAAAAGTTGATCCTTCTGGTTTTCTTGACACACTTGGAGGAAAGGAATCCCCTGGGAGAACATGGATGCTGATTTTTACTGGAAAGGTTAACATATTTCTATAATTTCGTATGATTCTGGTTAAACTATCTTTAGCAGTATATACTTATTATAGTTTTGTGCTGAATTTTAGACAAAATTAGACGGTGGTCGGTATTTTCCTCTCACAGCTATTCAGAGATTTGATGCTTCTGTAAGTCTCTTACGATACTATCTAAACTTCATTCTTGATAGTCCATTTAGTGTGAATTGTCTAAGTTAGAATGTTATATTGATGAAATTGTTAGGCAAAGAGGATCGAAAACGGCGTATTTCTTGGACCTATTGGACAATTAACATTTGAAGGCAAATTTTCATGGAAGAACAGAATACTGTCTTTCATTTTTGAGAATATTCGAATAAAAGTTGGACCTTTAAAACCCATAGAAATCAGCCTTGGACAAAAGGATGACAGGGAACCAAGTACCAAGGATCCCTTTTTCATCTGGTTTTATGTTGACGAGGAAATAGCTGTTGCTCGAGGACGAAGTGGAGGCACTGCATTTTGGTGCCGGTGTCGTCAGGTTGATAATTGATTCTTTTTAGCGTCCTTTTAAGTGTTTTTTTCTGAGTTTTTGACTTATTTGAAAGAAAGATTGATGTAGATGATTTGAAGCAGTTGAAGTTCATTCAGGTGAATTACTTTTTGTACTCGTGTACTGTTTAGCTTTATAATGTATACAATCCAGAAACTGAAATGTATATAGATACTTTCAAATTGGAGTTTTCATTTCATGATATGTTCATGACAAGCCAAAATATTTTCCCCTATTAGGTAAAGTTGGCTGCATAAATCAAACATTATCAGAACAACTTATTATTCAACAATGTCATAATATCTTAATATGAACCATGTGTAAAGACACAATTTGAGTCCAAATATTGGCGAATGAATCGATAAGTATTTTTTTGTCTTCCTTCTTGATCTACTCTCTTACCTGTACTTTGTGATTGTTTTATCCACACATGTATACATTTCTTAAGCTGCGGTTTTTTATTTTATTTCTTATATAATGGATGTTACTCGAATTTTCTGTTTAATACTTCGGTTATGTTAAGAGTCTCATATTGGATGAGATATGGTCTGAAAATGTGTTTATAAGAGGGGTAGTCCACCTTACAAGGCTTTGTTATTTTTTTTTGTCTCCATAAGCCAATGAGGAAAATATGCATTAATTTGGCATATTTTTTGTCTTTCAAAATGTTTTTTTTGTATCTTAATAAAATATGAATAGGTTTGTATCGAGAAGAACTTCCCTTTTTTATACACATAATGCAAAAGTACATACTTTTATATCTATATTTAATCAAACCAAACAAACAAATATGGACCGACAGGCCGAAAAGAACACAGAAGGGGGTAAAAAGAAAAAGAAAGAAATATCAAAATGAAAATAATCAATAGGGTTACTCAGTCTCAGACCCTATTTTATAGAACTTTCTATGATACATGAATGAAGCTTTTTATGATACATGAATGCAACACTGTTTCCTCGGCATAACTAATCACTTTACAAGCTTAACATCCGGGTTCCTAATGGTTTTGAGCCACATATCAGCCACTACCCGTGATGAAATACTATATAGCAGGTCTTGTCCCTTTGCCACTGCCTGCTTCCCTTTCTTCCCTGCCTTTCCCAACCCATATGCAACTAACCATTGCATTGCGGTTAGCCTCTGCTTCTCATTGTCCCATACATTCTTCTTTGTAGAACTCCTAACCTTGAAACCTCCAACATGGATGCTTATTACTTTAAACCTCTTACCCTCCCCAGCCCCGTCCGTGCTAACGCGAGTTGCATGAATAAGCACCATCATAGGGCCTCCAACTGTTTCATAGCGTCTCATTGGATCCCGCAGTTGGACAACCAATATCAGTGTGACTTTCTCAGGTTCGCCATCAGAACTTGCAGTTGCAGAGCCCTTGTTGTTGCCTAAGCTTTGGTCTCTAATCCAATCCTCAAGTGGAATAGCAGAAGCCAAAAGATCTTTCCCACTAGCCCCTTTCTTTGAGCCGAGTGCAGAAAAATCAAATGGAGCTTCTTCTTCAGCCACGTCAGCTTGAATTTTCAGTGCCTCGACTGTCATTGACTCTATCTTCTGCATTGAAATAGGAAGAAGCTTCTCGAAAGTAACTGGATCTTCATCAACATTCCAAAGTCCCGTTGATATCCGTTCTTTCCTTCCTGAACTAATAATGTTTGACATGCTTTTCAAAGCAGAAACTATGCGGGCAGCGCTGGAACTTGCTCCTTCCTTGTTCCTACCTTGTACGACGGTTGAAGCAATGCCTTCAAAAGCAATCTGCTCTGCAGTTTTACCTATCAGTTCATCTATTGGCATCAAGGAGGATAAGACTTCGGAGTTGAGTTCATCAAGACCAATGCCGGCTAATTTCTGAAACAAATCAAACCCGCTCATCGATTCATGCGAAGCCAACACATAAGGCTTTGATATCTGCATTGCCAGCTTTGGAGTATCTTTTCTAGCCACTGCAACATCTAAAGGGTTCATGGAAGCCAAGTAGCCACCGTCCCGTGTTTTAACCACGCAACCCAAGCCCTTACCAAGTTCTGAAAGATATACTTTGGATTCTCCTCCATCTGCCGGAGAATTGTCACGTCTTTCTTCAAGTTGTAAAGATGGAATTTCAGATTGGTTGAATAAGTATCCTTTGTTGTCTTGATCCTCCTCAAGCATCTGAAGAAACTCCCTAGTCACAGTTTCTTCATCTGCTTCCAGTGCGTCTGTCTCTTCATCTATTTTCATCATGTTATTCATATCATCATCTCCCATCATAGACTCCAGAGCTTTTATTTGTTGAGCAATTGAATCAAGCTCAGACAATCTAGCATGGTGCACATGATCGTGCACTACTTCCTTCACAACCTCGTCTGCAACCGGTTTCTCTTCTACAGATTGATCTGATTCCTCTCCTTCATCTTCTTCTTTCTCTTGAACCTCAATCCCTTTATCAACAACCTCAAAATCTGGAAGATCAAAATCCTCCACCTGTTCTATGTGGTCATGATCGACTTTCTGGGCAGAAGAAGAGGAATCGTGAACTGGATTCGGGTCATCGAGATTCAAATCGTCCATTCCTTGAATGCTGGCACCTTGCTGTGCTTGTGAAGGGCTCCATGCGTCGCTCCTGCTCGTCATTCTGGGACTAGGCACGCTGAAGGATGACTTGGATTGTTTGCGTGCGAAAGAAGATGAGAAACTACTCAACTTGCTGGACTTTGAATTCCCCATTGGACTATTGGTATTGCTATTCATATTATATATATCAACTCCTCCATCTTTCTCCACAATCTGAAAACCAAGTTTCACAACAAGTTCGCCTCCTTTTGCCTTTCCAGATAACTCGAAGCTCGTATCCCATTGCCTAACTCGCGATCCTTGTTGGCTCTTCTCCACAGACTCTCGAATTAACTCGCTCAAATCCACATAGCTTCTTCCAAAATCAAGCTCTTGAGCATCAACAGCAAAAAGGTATATCAAAAAGGGACGTGGCTCAAACTTACGCCTCTTCTCATGATTGTTGATGGTGTAATAAGCATGGCACTTGATAAAAAGGGTCTCCTCGAAATCAGCAGCTCCTTGTGAAACGCGTGATGGCATTGTCTTAACAGCACCATCCTTTGTTTCATGCTTCCTAACGCAAACAGCTAACCTTAGTCCATTCATGGAAGAAGGAAGGTCTTGAGCAGCAACCACTTCAACGGAAAACAAACAGCTTAGTTTCTGCATTCCAATATGCGAAAGTGCCCGCATAGGTTTCCACTTCCAAATCCCTTTCTTCTCATTCTCACCCAAATTAGTCGTTGATGTCTTAGTCTTAGCCACCACCTCTTTGGTTTCTGTCTTTGAAATTCCATCCTCAAGCTTTGATTTTGATCGCCACGGGGACAAGGACATGCGACGGGATTGCGGTTTGTTACTACTTTCACCATAAGCTTCAGCCGTGTGATAGTCATTGTCATCATCTTCAATAGATGGAACAGGAGTATTTCGCGGCAAGACAAGCGAAGCTGTTCTACGAGCCGTGGCAGACGTGTGTGATTTGTAAAGGGTATCACTCAGAGCCTCGAGCTCTTCAAGAATCTGAGCATTGGGATTGCTCTTGGTATCTGCCATAGGTAATAGTCAATGAAGAGGATGTTGCTGCAATGAATGGATAATGAGAAGATAAGATGCTCATATCACATGTTTAAGCGTGGCGATTTTTAAAGGCGGTTTCTGAACCAATAAAATAAAACAATGATGAATTGGATTTGTGGAGGATAGAAGATGAATGGTGACATTGCATTGTTCCTTGGTGAGTAAGACAAATTTGGAAATGGATAGGTTGATTTGTGTGTAGGCAAACTGGTCCCAGAGAGTTTAATGTGAACTGTTTGCTAGTGGCAGCAGTACCCTTCCACTGATTGCTATGTTTCACAGACACAAGATGCTAATTTTGTGAAACTTCTCTTCCTCACCTCAATTTCTTTAGAATATTTGGGAAAACAGAAGAAGCCAAAGTACATAGCAGTGAAAAAGGTTATTTCAACAGTGATACTTGTTTTCTTAATATGTAAGTATAATATTTATCTTTTAGAATTTTCCTAACTTTGTATTAAGTCCAGTTGTTTGAATTTTGTCATTGTTCAAAGTTCAAACAACCATTACTACTTCTTTAGGAAAAGGTTTTATTATGATTCAAATTTAAACATGATACAATAAATAGATTATGGAATCTGTTCAAGTTTTTTGAGATGGTGAGATGCTGTCTCTGAGAGTAGTATTTGGCAACATGATCGAGCGATCAACTCTGCTTTGAGCTTTCCTTGCCTAATAAGTAAATTAACAAGAGTTTGTTAATAAAAAAGTTACAATAAGAAACAACAAAAATTGTGTTGAGTTATTCTGAATTTTCTTACTTCTTCTTCCCAGTTCGAACGAATCGTAAAAATACTGTAAAGTAAGGTTTGGACAGTAAATGCTGAAATGATCCCCAACCACAGTCCCTATTTTGACAGGAAAAAGAGATAAGATAAGATGTGACACATGTAGCTCCGAACACAGATACTAGATCAGAAGTTTCGTGTTCGAGAGTTAGAATACAATATTTACCGTCGCATGCATGTGTAGAAAAAAGGCTAATGTAACTGCACATGGTACACCTATTGCATAAAATGATCCAAGATTCACATAGGCACCGATCTTCTGCCATCCGCATCCTGCAAGAACACCTGCATCATTGAAATTGTAAGATGAATAATGTCGTTTTTCATAAACTTTTTTTCGAGATGCATGGATATATACCTGAAAGTGCGCTTTGGATGGCATCAAGAAAACTGGAAATAGCCAAAATTGGCATCATGGCTGACACATATCTGATAACTTGTTTGTCATTACTATATACTTGTCCCCACACATTTCTTGCTAGAATCATGCTTAGAACCATAAACAACCCTTCAATGAAGGCGGTAGATAGCCCCACACGAACCGATAGACTCGCACCTCTCGGATTTCCGCCGCCCAGTTCATTCGATACTCGTATACTTTCAAACAATTCAATCAAAAAACTAATATCAAATTTTACAATTCTGAAAGCTAGTTACCATAAAATACCTTACTGCAGCACTGCATCCAAAAGGGATCATCCAAGCTAGACCAAATGTATTAAGGCTACAAATATATGATTTTTTGTTAGAGGACACAAAGTTAATGTGCATTGATGAATGTTGTCAATCAATGCCACTAACCATATTGAGAGCACTGAAGTTTCTAATACTGGATTTGGAAGAAGACCAGACATGAGAACCATCAATTCAAATGTCCACACTTTCAAACTGTCATAAAATATACAGCATCAGAAGAGTCTAGTTTTTGCGTAAATCATAGAAAAAATGGAATCGCTCGTACTAGATTGATTCTATAAGTGATGTGTCTAACGTCCTTAAAGAATCAATTTTGTACAAACTCATAACTTAAAAGACGATAGGTGCAATTTCGCTTATATCAGTTTGAGTTAAAGATAATTACCAGAGCATGAAAGCTGAAGGAACAGCGAGTTTAAGGAACTCGGAGAGATCCCGAAGGGCTTTCTTTGAAAAGCCTGTCCATGTTTGTTTACAAGAAGAAGAGAATTTGACATAGAGTGAAATCAACAGCACATTGACCCAATAACATATAGAAAGAGATATAGCTGCTCCTTTACTTCCAAGTTTTAGTTCAAAAACAAAAACCCAACATAGAAGAGTATGAAGCAAAGCTGCAATTGCAGAAGTTAGCACCATTGGTAGAACAATGTTTTGTGTTTGCAAGAACTTGAGAATGCACTGAAGAAGACCATATGCAAACAAACTTGGGATCATGAAAAATGCATAAGAACCAGCTTCTTTGGAAATGGCTTTGTCTTGATGTATAGCTACTAGAATTGATTCTGTATTAGCCCATATGATTGAAAGGAATACACTGACAATTGAAACAACAAGCATTGATCTTTGCATGTGTATTCCAAGCATGTGGTACTGTCCTGCTCCATTTGATTGACCACAAAATGTATCCAATGCACTCGCAATTCCCATCTGATGATCAATGGTCAGATACATATACAGATCAAATACATCATCAGTTATTCAATAAACCTAAAAAGAAAGAACAAACGAACGAACCAGTAAGGTGAAGCCGGTAACAGCTGCGAAGGAAGTGGCCATGGACGCACCTGAAAGAGGTAGAGTACCAAGATGTCCAACAAACATGATAGAAATGGTTTGTAGGACATATTGTAGGATACCAACTGAGGTGAGAGGAAGTGCTAACCATAGTTGCCTCTTCACTTCTGCTACCACTAACTCTTTTCTCTCACTTGTCATCTTTGATCTTTTCTATTGTTTAACTTCCTTATAAAGTAAACATAGAAAGAAGAAGAAGAAGAAGAATAGTAGATATTTGAGGAGACCACAGTATTTGAAGTTGTGAACTGCATGTGCTCCATTTTCTTATCACTCATCTTTCATTAGTTTTGTTGTTTTATTTCATTCAAGAGCATATACTTAATCGAGCACATATTTTAAAATAACTTTGCTTTGTTTTATTTCCTTTTTCTTTTACTACAATTGATTCGGCGGCAAAATAACTAATAAATACAAAATGATATATAATTATTTTCTTTAGTTTTTTGAAATGTTTTCTATTCTTTATCAATATATCAAGTAAAGTTTATACATGAATAGATAAATAGAAGGTAAGCTACGACACTAGCTTTTTTTGAGAACAAAATCAATTAATTATATAAAATATTAATCAATTATGGTATTAAGAAATACAAGACGTAAAAAAACAAATGGTATGAAAGTATTTGATTATCTGAACATAATTTTTATGTTTAACCACTTTACTTCGAGTGAAAAAAATACTACTTATCAAATTTATAAATATATATTTTCTTTCTATCCCACGTGTACCCACTCCTTAAATTTTATAATATATTTGATTTTAATTATAATTTAGCTTTACTTTTTAACTATGTGAAATTTAATATTGATATTGTTTTATTTTCTGAAACTTTATTGTTAGATTTCATATTTAAAGAGAAACAAAGGATAATTTGAAGTAAGAATATAGTAATTTATTTGAAATAAATCAAATATATTAATACTTATATATAAAAATAATTACACGTTAACAATTCAAAAAGAATTATATTAAATAGTTATTAATAGTTATTGATCTTACTGATGATCATAATCTGAAATGGATCGATATTTACATCTGTAATGCTGGAATTACGGAGGAGGAGATGTACTTGCAAGATAGTCTGATGTTTGGCCATTGGTCTGCAGTATAGGCAGAATATCTAGGCCTAAAATCCTTAATTGTTAGGAATCCTACTTAAAAGCAGGGACGAGTAGCTCGTGCTCATAATTCTGAGAAGAGATGTTTGGAACTAGCCGTTGTTACATACACATATGTCTGGAACTAGCTGTTGTCGCGAGCAGAGACGCGGTCGAGGGTAGTCGCGATCTTGTCGACCCTGGGGGACACTCGACCATGCATCCCCAGCTGTCGGGCAGAAGGAAAAAATTTCCTCTGTTAGCCATAGTCGCTTGGGCAAATGCTTTTTGGACCGTCCTAAACGCAGGAGTGGCCAAGTGACAAATTGAAGTAGTTGGCCAAGTGATAGAAAATCCAAACTCGATCTCTTTGCGGTGAATAAAGTATATTTAGTGCATGTTTATTTTGATTTTTGGAAGGGTCAAAAGAAATTCTAAAAGTGTAGAATTGATTTCGAAGTAATTTTGAGGTGTTTGATTCTTCTAAAATAGAATTGATTCTATTAGAAGTTGGGATTTGTAATTTCTGAGTTTAAATATAATTTTTACACTAAAATTTATTCTTCAATTCAACTTTACATAAATATATCAGAATATAAACCAGTTCTGCTAAATTTAATTCTAATAAAATTATTTCTATTAAATTCAATTCTATACAAAATCAATTTGGTTCACCGCCTATCCAAATATATAATTACCCCTTTTTAAATTTATAAATTCATCACATTTTTGTTTAGATATTTTGTTGACTTCTTATAAATTCTTAGATGGTTAAATATATAAATTTTTGAATAAGTGGAATATCGCGTGTTTGAAGTAGTGTTTATGTAATTAAATATTTTTATATAATTATCCATTGAGTTCATTTAATGAAATGTAGTTTTTTTTACTGTAGTGTATTAATTAGTTATATATTTTAGTTTTTTAAATATATATTTTAAATTATTTTTGTAAATAATTTTAGTTAATTCACTTTTTAATAAAATTAAATTGACGAGTCAAATGGATGTCCGGCCATAAATAAATAGTTTTTTTTTCCATCCCTATCGATCACCACTCCAATACTCTAAGGTATTATTTCCCAAAAAATAATATCAACTTTTAAGTGTCTCTTTAAAATTAGTGACTATGAAGAGGTGAGTGTCTTCTCATGTTACTTGAAGAAGACATCTAATTTACTTGGCTCTAAAATTGAAGTATGAACACGAATTTTTATATATGACATGAAGCTAAGCCTTTTAACATAAATAATAGGAATTTCTCTTTATATTTATATTTAGTAGTGATGGTTTTCACTACTGAAAGTCTTAAAATATCCTTCGCAAATGTATTTACAAAGTCATTTCTCAGAAGGTTTCGCAAGTATACTTGCGAAGAAATTATTTTTTTACACATTCAGCAAAAGTTTCGCAAGTGCACTTGCGAAACTTTTGTTGAATGTGTAAAGAAATGGTTTAAAATTACATGATTTTCACTATTTTTATTTTCACAAATTTCAATATTTCACAATCTATTTTCCAATATTTTACAATCTGATGGCAAAAATATATTCATAAATAAAAATATGTATAATTCGTTCGGAAAGTAAGTGCAGTTAAAATATTACAACAACAACAAGAACAAAACAAAACACAAGCTACTACATATGCCTAATCTTAACCCCTAGCGTCCTCATCTGCTTGCGGTACTCCGATACATCTGATGCCTCACTGACCATCCTCTCAACTATGACAAACGCCACAGGACCGCCAATGTCGATAATCTCAGAATCCAATGCCTTCTGTCCAAGTAACTGTATCCACCGACAGATCGACAAGAGATCAGTGGCATGATCATCCTCGGCCTGTTGGTTTTCCAAGAGCTCCTCATGAGCTGGCCTAGGTGGACGTCCAAGACCATCCGGTGTCATGATAGGGTGTGACACGTTAAAGAACCATGTCTCATAACCCTCTACACAATGCTAATGCTGGGATGCCGACATCATCTGATAGTCCTGTGACACCATATGATTCTCCCAATCCTGGAAGACATCACCGAGATCCCGTCAGACAATGGTCTCTGGAGCAGCATGAAAAGGAGAATTGGGTATCATCTACACATAACTAAACTGGAGGATGCACCGCTCCAGAAGATATCTGACCATCATATTCGCCCACAAGTTAGCCACTCAGAGTATAATGAGATCGGATAAAATGCCACAACCTCCCTGTAGTCCTTAAATGGCCCCTAGTTGATGTCATCATGAGCAGTACGGTCAAGATACACCCGATACAAAACCACATGTTGGTTCCCTCTGTTGAGGACATACTTGGCAGCCCTTGGCATGTTATTAGTATAGACGTTATCTTAATTGAAACCATGAATGCAGTGAAAATAAGATATTATCCAGCTCTGCAACAACAATAACATAATATGTAAGTACAAATTAATTGAAACTAATTATAGTTAATAGTTAAAAAAAAGGTACCGTAAGGAGTGTGCACGAGCCAGTGAGCGCTCTCGACCTCTAATTTGAAGCTTCATTCAGATTATGGTAGAGGTATACCAAAATAGTGGCCCCCAGTTCCACTCACGAATTGTAGTCAGGTCTATAGAATACCACATGTAGGTAACATCAGTGTAGTGCCCACTCGTGTCCACAAAGACTTACGTGCCGACCAAGAACATCAAGTAACATCGCACAACACAGGCTCGGCAAAACTGAATGAAAACATCTTCATGCACATGCACCTCAGCTATACGTGCAGCTCTTGCTGCTACTGCTGCAACAAGTTGCTCCTCATATAGATCTTTTAGGTAGGAGAACCTTACACGGCCCTATTTATGGAGTTGCAGTCTGATGCAGCCCTCAACGAACCAGCTTCGAGATACTCAACCATTCACTCAACCGCCTCAACTCGTTAATTCTTATGATGGTTCAGTAACCTACCTCTGATAGGTAGGTGGAGCAATCAAGCTACATCATCGAGAGTGATGGTCAACTCCCCAACAGGAAAGTGGAAAGACGAGGTCTCTTTGTGCCACCTCTTAACAAAAGCCCATGCATGCCGTGGCTTACTATGGTGTAACCTGTACAACATAATCCAGAAAGATCGGATCCAATCACAACCTTGTGGAACCACTGAGCCTTTGTCATGAACAACTCAAAAATCTTCCAAGAGTGGTTCACATGCTTTATAGGCAACCGTTTCTGAAACAAAACAAAAAAGGAACCAAAAAAATACTAGATCATCCCAGACATAGCGAGCAGTATGATTATGATAATAAATCAAGAGGGAGGTGTTATATGGCCCTCATAGATAGCCCTACTCCGGCTCCTCATGTCCCTCAGTGTCGTTAGGTACCTGAATATCAACGAGCACCTCGACATCCTCAACATCTGTGGGTACCTCAATGTTCTCGGCCTCCTCCGCCTCGTCAGGTACATGCTCCTGTGCACGAGAGGTAGACGCCTCATGCAGACGTCTAACCGGTGTAGAAGGAGAAGCTATATCTAGTTGCTCCGTTTGTACATGACCCCATCCTCGAGGCCGGTTAACCTGCTGCTCATGTCTCTCTCGAAGAGCCGAGGTAGTCTGGCTTGGCCTGCCTTGCCTCAGACGCCTAATCTGATCCGGGTTGTCATCCATGTTCCCGAAGTAAACCATTATAATTGTTAGGTTTTGAAAAAAAAAACAACCAATGCAAGAATTTGCAAGTGCACTTGCGAAACTGGTCCAGGGTGACTTCGCAAGTACACTTGTGAAACCCCCATGCGCATATCCACATTCAAATCTCAACAGCTTCTTGTCCTAAACAACCTAAACCTCAATTTTTTGTCACCCAATCAACTAGATTTACCTATTATAACACTAAGATACACAATACAATTACTACAAACTAACATAATAATCTTTTACAAGTTTGCATTGTGAATAAAAAAAATTATAGAAAACTTGCACAAATTTAATAGCTTGGAGTTAATTTCGGATGACTTGAAATGGAGAGATAGACAAAAATTTGTGAGTTTGAGTTGTAGAAATGTTTGAGTTTGGAGTAGA